AAAGTTAAAAGTAATAAAACAATTTAAAAGCCAGCTAATTATAAGAATATCCATGAGAGGCTGGGGATAAAAACTGTTAAGGGAGAGGGCTGGGGACAGTGTTGGACCCCATATAATAAGGTAGTAGTAGAAGATGCGGGTTGAGAGGCCTGGGTAAAGTGGAGGCAACTTCAAGGCTCATGATGCAAGTAACCTGGAGAGACAGATGCAAAGGAGAGCTTGGTCTGTCTGTGGGAAGTAGAAGCCCAGCAGAAGTCTCACAGAGAGGGGGGAGGGGAGGAGCAAAGGAGGGAGGGAGAGAAGAGAGAGGGCAAGTCATTGCAGGGCGGGGCTCTGACTATAAGGGTGAAGCCAACCTATTGATCCCACAGGCAGTACACCCTATAAGCAAGCACCGGCTCTCAGGACCACACCGGCACTGGTGAGTTCTCCTCTGACTAGAGTGGGTCCTTTGTCACCTGCCTCTCTTTCAGAGAGTTCCAGGGCCTTGCTTGAGACACTGGTGTCTTTATCCTTCCCTCCCACTTCCATAGGTGGCCCCATTAAACCTTCAGGTACCCGGAGAGGAGATCTGGCCTGCACCATGAAACTGTGGCTCTTTGCCTGCCTGGTCGCCTGCTTTGTTTGGACCTGGGTGCCTGTTGACCATGTCCAAGGTACTGCCCGTAGCCACTCTTTCCTTGCTCCAGCTTTCCAGATGTCGCTTTCTCGGCTCACTTGGGCTCCTCGCCCCCTACTTGTTGAACTCTCCACTGATTCTGTATCCTTTGAGTTCTTCAGTGGCTCTTGAGAGGTTGGGCAAAGCAAGAATTCCTGGTACTACTGGGGCTGGATGGTTAGAAATGAAGGGTCCCCAGCTACCTATTCCAGGACCCCTCACCTCCATGCTGGTGTGCTTCCTTTGCAAGATTCAAGAGGCTTGGGAGCTGCAGGAAGCAGAAGGTGGCTTCCAATTGGGGGAAAATGCACTTAGAGCCAGGAGTGCATTTTGATGCCTTTCCTCTGCCTAGCTAGGGATGTGAGGTTGAGCTCTGAGCCCTGGGTGTCTTCCAAAGTGGATTCCCTGCCTTTCCTCCCTGTGTAGTCTAGCTAAGGGCCTAACGTTGTCTTTTGTGAGACTCAGTTTCCTCATCTGCCAAGCAGGAATGAAAAATTTAAGAATCCAGTGAAAAATACTTACTCCCAGGTCACGGTCAGGGAACCGTTTCTGGATCTTCTTCACCCTACTGGAAAGCAGGTACTTGAGGATTCAGTCACTCAAGGCCAAGTCTCAAGCACAGAGCATCTCTACAGAGTCTTGCCACTCGGTGCTTCATCTCTGAGGAAACATGGGGTCTCAGCAGGTGTCAAAACAAGGTCCCAGGCCAGGTTGAGGACCCAAGATCCTACCCCCTGCCCTGCCTGCTCCTCTACTATGTCCTACAGGTTCAAGCTTCCAGCAGAGTCTACTTTATGTTCAGGAGGGAGGCTTGGCTTTCTTTCTACAGTCTGCTATCAGAGCCAGGCCCAGCCTCTGCCCTTTGATCCTGGGAGAAAAGTGGCCCCCAGTGTTTGAAAACACCTGCCAAGGATCCCCGGAGCCCCAGTTCTTATCTAACACCACTGCCCCTTGTCCTCAAGAACCAAAGTAGAGGAATGGTAAGGAGAATGAGTTCTCTCCCTGAACCACTGTGCTGGTTTCTACTTGAACTCAGATTTGATTCCAGAGGCAAGATTTGGCAGATAGGGCTCACAGATAACCTTGAAGCTTGGCTAGATTGAGGAACCCACTGTATTATCAAGCCTTTTTTGTTTATTCATTTACTTTTCTATTTCCCAGAACTTTCTAGAATCATCTCCTTCTCCTTGGGCACTCCTCCGAGCTCCTGCACATACTCTTTTTGTGTAGAAAACTTCTCTGTCTCCTCTACCAGGTTGAAACTCCCCTGAGACACTAGGTCCAATTTATGTCAGTATTGTCTAGATATTTGGTACCTAGGAGAACTCTTTTAAGCTTTTGTTCGGCCAGCAGGGGAACTAACAAAGAATGGTCAGGTTAGCAGTTATTAATATCTTAAGATGGGTAGAGAGAAGAAAAGGAATTTAACCTGGTATCATGTACGGACAGGCCAGACCATAGCTGAGATCTTCAGAAAAGTTGAGTAATCTGTCTGTTTGTTTATTTATCCTAGTTACATATATCCATTTATTTACTTACTTTATGTAGAGACAACAGGACAACTCACAGGAGTTGGTTCTCTCCTTCACTATGTGGATCCTCAGGATCAAACTCAGGCTATTAGAACTTGGTGGCAAGTGCCTTTGCCTCTCTGGCCCCAGGTGTGTGTGTGTGTGTGTGTGTGTGTGTGTGTGTGTGTGTGTGTGTGTGTGTGTGTGTTTCTTTGTTTTTTTTTTTTTATTTTTTTTTAAGAAAAGGTCCCACTATGTATATATACCTTACTGTGTAGACCAGGCTGTCTTCAGACTCTTAGAAATCCTTCTGCCTCTGCCTTCTGAGTGCTGGGATTAAAGGCATGTGCCACCATACTTGGCCTTTAATTTTTTTTCATTAAAAAAATTTTTTTGGAGATGAGGTTTCCCTATGTAGCCCTGGCTGTCCTAGATCTCACTCTGTAGAGCAGGATAGCCTCAAACTCAGCAATCTGCTTGCCTCTTGCCTACTGAATTTGGGATTAAAGTTGTATGCCACCACACCTAGCTAATTTTTCATTTTAAAAATTAAGATAGGATCTCACCCGGTGGTGGCGGCACACACCTTTAATCCCAGCACTTGGGAGGCAGAGAAAGGCGGATCTCTGTGAGTTCGAAGCCAACCTGGGCTACAGAGTGAGTTCCAGGTCTCCAGGTCAGGCTCCAAAGCTACAGAGAAACCCTATCTCAAAACAAAACAAAACAAAACAAAAAACAAACCAAACCAAACAAAAGATAGGGTCTCATATATCTCAAGCTGGTCTCTAACTTGCTACCTAGCTGACTTTGAAATTCTGATCTACCTGCCTCCATTTCCCAGGTGCTAGGATTCCAGGCATATACTACCACACCTGGTTTATGTAGTTCTGGGGATCCAACCCAGGGGCTCATACAAGTTAGGTAAACACTTTACCAACTGAGTTATAGTTCTAGTCAAAATTTAGGTGGTGCCGTGAGACAGGGTCTCAGTGGCTCAGACTGGTTTCAAACTCATGACCTTCTGCACCAGCATCTGGACTGCAGGGCTTACAGATGTGCATGTGCCTCAATGTCTGCAAGTGCGCACCTGTCCTCTACCTCAGAGCAGAAACAGAAAGGCCCCTGGGATGTTTCTTTGCCTACCTGCACTCTACAATTCCTGCCAGCATCCTTATATCAAGAGCTGAGAGCAAGCCAGGAAGCTTCCTTATCTCCCAGGTAGCCTGTTGACCTCTGTATCTAGAAGGTGGTGTGTGTGTGTGTGTGTGTGTGTGTGTGTGTGTGTGTGTGTGTGTGCACCATGCTCACATCTTTGATTGTCCCTGCCAGTAATGTGCCCCTGGAATCATGGATGTGGCTGAGTCATCTAGTTGCAGGTACCTTTTTGTGATTTTTTTTTATTTTTGAGTATTTCATATATGCAATATGTTTTGATCAAATCTATTCCTTATTCCCTTTCCTTCTCTATCACCCCTATCCCCCTACCACTTCCCCACCTGACTTAATGTGCTCTGTTTTTAAACCCACTTAGTCCACTGAATGCTGCCTGTATGTGTATGGCTGAAGGATCATATATTAGAGCAGGGGTAATCTTTCTGGGACCATGTCCCTGAAGAAAACCAAGCCTCTCCTAGCAACCATCAATTTCCAATAGCTTGTCAGATAGGGGTAAGACTTGATGAGTCCCCTCCACCCACCCATGCTGAGATTCTGGCTGCCTTGATCTTGTGTGGGTCTGTGCACGCATCACAGCTCCTATAATTGATGTGTGCAATGGCCTCATCATGTCCAGCAAATACTCTTTCTTTGAAGATGTCTTCCTCTGAGTCTTGCAATTTTTCTGCCCCCTCTTCTGAGATAATCCCTGAACCTTGTGGGAAGGAAGTATGATATAGATGTCTCATTTATAGTTGGAAATTCCATGGGCCCTTACCCTGAATGTTAATCTGTTGTGGGTCTTTGGGATAATTGTCATCTAATATAAAAAGAAGCCGTTGTGGAATATTACTTTAAGATGTGTTACATTTGTTTATGCTCTGGAACATTTGTTTAATGATGCAAAGATGTGCTGCATTCTTTTATGTTGCATTTGTTTAACTCTGTGAAGCTGTGTTACTTGGCCTTTCTATACTCTAATATAGCGCTGAAAGGTCAATAGCAAGGGAGAAAGGATAGGTGAGGCTGGCAGGCAGAGAGAATAAATAGAAGGAGAAATCTTGGAGGAGCAAAAAGAAAGAGCAAGAGAAAAGAAGGAAGAGGATATCAGGGGCCAGCCACCCAGCTACAGAGCAAACCACGGAGTAAGAGTGAAAGTAAGATTACAGAAGTAAGAAAAGGAAAGAGCCCAGAGGTAAAAGGTAGACAGGATAATTTAAAGTTAAGAAAATCTGGCTAAAAACAAGTCAAGCTAAGGGTGGGTATTTATAATTAAGAATAAGCCTCCATGTATGATTTATTTGGGAACTGGGTGGCGGGCCCCCCCAAAAAGCAAAAACAACCAACAACAAAAGTTCACTGATGAGGGTAATAACTTATGAGTATATGGATAAGAACGTAAAGGACAGTTTATTACTATGTCTACTTTTTAGAATAATAGTATTAAGTTCTCATTTAGGGCCTATGACCCAGTCATACACACACACACACACACACACACACACACACACACACACACACACGCACGCACGCACGTGCACACACACACACACATGTGCTACATGTTTGTGGAGGTCAGGGGATGATAATTTGTGACTCTCTCCATGTGGATTCTGGGGACTGAACTTAGGTGGCAAGCACCTTTACCCACTGAGCCATCTCACTTGCCTCTGTAGGTGCCTTTGAAGACTGCTGCCTGGGTTACCAATCCAGGATCAAATGGAATATTCTCCAGCACGCTAGGCATTATCGCGTGCAGGAAGTGAGTGGAAGCTGCAACCTACGTGCTGTGATGTGAGCAGAACCTTTCGTGTTGCTGGGTGAGAGTCATGAACACCTTAGATCCTCCAGCCCTAACCTGGCATCCACCTTTCCACCCTCTGTAGATTCCACTTCCGCCAGAAAGGCAAGGTGTGTATGAACCCAGAGAACAAGGATGTGAAGAGGGCGATGGAGATCTTGAATGCTAAGAACAAGCCAGTTGACAACCCCCAGAAGACCACCTCAGGTAGGTAAGACCCCAGCCAACAGCTCGGGGAGGGAAACAGCTCAGCATGCTAACATGCTGCTAGCTAACCCTCTTCAAAGAGTGAGTTGCTAGTGAGTCAGAGATGGAATGAATAGCTAATCAATTGCGTCAACCTCAGGTGTCCTCCCCCAAGAGCTCTCCCCTTTCTTCCCTTCAGTACTGTGCACTGAATCCAGGCTATTGGATATGCTACACAAGTGTTCTACCACTAAGAAGCATCTCTAGCCATTCCATTTTATTTTCTCTGTGTGTGTGCTGCATGCATGAGTATACAGTTGTGCATGTGGTGGTCGAACCTTTTATTGCTCTCTTGTCTTTACTGTCTTGAAAAAGGGTCACTCACTAAACTGGAAGCTTGCCATTTTGACTAGGATGACTGGCACTGGCCTGTGGGCTCTTAGACTGTGCCTATCTCCATTTTCCAAAACTAAAATTATAGGCATGTACAACCATGCCTCGTTAAAAAAAAAAAAAAAAAAAACTGTTTTTTTTTCTTGTTCAGATAGTTGCACATGCCCTTAATCCCAGCACTGACGAGACAGAGACAGGTGGATCTCTGTGAATCCGAGGCCAACCCTGGTCTACAGAGCTAGTTCTGGGATAGTCGAGGCTACATAAAGAAACCCTGTCTCGAAAAACAAAAACAAATTTTTTTCCCTTATTTTTTGAGATCATAATAATTGCATAATTTCTCCTTTCACTTTCCTCCCTCCTAGCCCTCCTGCATGCCCCTCTTGCCCTCTTTCAAATTCGTGGCCTCTTTTTTCATTAATTGTTATGTAATACATAAATTCCTGAACACATGAATATAACCTGATCAGTCTGTATAATATCACTTATGTGTATGTTTCATTTTGTATTCGATAACCAATTTGAGTGCTCTTCCATGGGGCAGACTGTTTCTCCCACTCTCAGAATGGGAGTAGTCTAAGGTTGAGGCCTCTTGGACTCCATCTGGCTCCATCTACATTAGTATGTCTATTGTTGCAAACTGCCTGGAAACCTGACTCTTAAAATCTTCCTGCTCACTCTTCCACAATGTTTCCTGAGCCTTTGGTGCAGGAGTTATGTTGTAGATGTATCCACTGGAACCGGGCTCCACAACTCTGCATTTTGATTTGTAGTTTTCTGTAGTGGTCTCCATCTGTTGCATCAAGAAGTTTCCTTGATGAGGGGTGAGAACTGCACCTCTCTGTGGGTATAAGGACAGATACTTAAAATGTAGTTAGGGATTATGCTGGTGTAGTAAAGTGGGGGTTGTAGGTTCTCTTCCAAGATCTGTGACTTCACTGGGCAGTTTGCCTAAGTTCCCAGTACCAGGCATGATTTCCCTCTTTTTGAGAAGTTCTAAAGTCTGATTAGAGAGCTGTTGGTTACCACCAAGGTATGTGTGTTACTCCTGCCCGCTTTGGATGACCATGCCATGCAGGCTGTTGTTGTGGTTCACAGGTTGACCAGCCTGGAGAGGGCTGTTGGTTGCTTCCCTCCTCTGAAAGCTTGCTGGTGCCGTGAAACATGCCTCATTTTTGCACAGTGCCTGAGGTTCAAACTCAGGTCGTCAAGGTTGCAGAGTAAGCACGCTGACCTACTGACCAATCTCCTCAGGCCTCTATATCTGGTTTTTTTTTTTTTTTTTTTTTTTTTTTTTTTTTTGAGACAGGGTCTCTTTATGTAGCCCTGGGCTGTCCTGGCACCCACTATGTAGAACACGTTGGCTTTGAACCCACAGAGAGCTGCCCGCCTCTGTGTTTCTGTCTCCCAAGTGCTGGAGTTAAAGGTGTGTGCCACCATGCCTGACTCCACCCTGTCTTTTGAGACCAGGTCTCCTACTGGATCTGGGGCTTGCTTCTTAGGCTAGGCTGGTTGGGCAGCGCTCCAGAGATTTTTGCCTCATCAGTGCTGGGATTATAAGTATATACCTACCACACCTGGATTCCTACATGGGTGCTCGGGACGGAACTCAGGTCCTCAGGCTTGTATGACAAGCACTTTACCCCACTGAGCGTCTCTCCGGTACATCCTTGTTTTAATTAATGAATTAGGTTTGTTTTCAGGGAGATCTAGGGAGATCGCTCACCTGTTAAAGTGCTGATGATACAGCTGTGAGGACTGGAGTTTGGATCCCCAGGAATCCATGTAAATGTTGGAATCCATGTAAATGTTGAGTGGGTGTGGTGGTCTTCCTGTAATTCCAGCCTCAGAACATGGAGACATGGGACCCACCTAACAAGCTGGCAGCTCTGGGTTTGATTGAGAGACCCTACCTTAATAAATAGGATCAAAGAGCAACGGAGCTTAATTTCTGACAACTGAGAGCCTCCACATGCATAGGCACACATGTGCATGCGCACCTACATGAGGAAAAAAATGCATGAACATACATGCACACTGTAAAATGTTACAACTCAGAGGAGAAAGGTATCCTGACAGTTGGGAGCCAAGAAATACCTCAAAGTCATACGGCTCAACAAACCTCACACAAAAGATTTATTTGGAAAGACACAGGAGGGAGGGTGGCTGCCTCTGCTTGGTCAAGAAGCAGCAGGAACTGGGTAGGAGACAGGGATATATAGGTTTTTCTTTGTGGGGAGGGGGCGGCTTTCCAGTATGGCCTGGGATTGGTGGGAATTTTGTGGTCTGATCTTGGGACAAGCTCAAGGATTGGTGGAATTCTTTTTCTTGGCCCTGTCTCAGGCTTGAGGGTCAAGTCAGGGTCAGGATGTTCTTTTCTTGGCCCTTTTTACCCTACACATAACAAATAGATACAAAATGGGAAAAATGAAAAAAACTTTCATCATATATATTGTATATTGAACCCCTGTCTCGCACTGCTCTGTACTACTTTTCTTTTCTGTTTTTTGGGACAATGTTTCCCTGTGTAGCTCTGGCTGTCCTGGAACTCACTCTGTAGACCAGGCTGGCCTCGAACTCAGAGCTCCATCAGCCTCTGCCACCCGAGTGCTGGAATTAAAGACATGCACCAGCACCAGCACTGCCTGGCTACCTTTTTCTAACATCATCTCCTCCCATTTATCCCATTATCCCTGGAGAGTTTCACTTCATTTCTACTTTAATGGATATAGACATGATTTTATTAGACTATATAAAATGTAGGAACCACAAATGAGAAAAAACAAAACATTTGCCATTTTAAGATTGACTTAATTCAAGTAGGGCAGTGGTGGCACATGCCTTTAATCCCAGCACTCAGGAGGCAGAGACAGGAAGATCATTGTGAGTTTGAGGCCAGCCTGGTCTACAGAGCAAGTTCCAGGCCAACCAGAACTGCACTGAGAAAGCCTGTCTTGAAAAAAAAAACAAAATAAACAAATAAAATAGAATCCATTTATTTTAATTTTGTATATGAGTGTTTGCTTTTATGTATGTGCACAAAAAGTGGGCCTGGTGTCAGGCCTCCTGCGACTGCAGTTGTAGATGGTTGTGAGTCATCATGTGGGTGCTAGGAATTCAACCCCAGTCCTCTGGAAGAGCAGCAAGTGCTCTTAACACTGGAACCTCTCTCCAGCCCCTGTTGGAACACTTACCTGTTTCTCTCCCTGTTTTCCAAAAGGCTCTCATACTGAGAGGAGGAAGTTAAATCATATGAAGTCTAAGGTGAGGAACCCCAGCAGCACTAGCATGAGGAACGCCACCCTAGGCCGGTCTAGGTAAGGACTCTTGGTCATGTGACCTTCCTCCCTCCATCAATTTGCTGACAGGGGTTACCCCCAGGAGCTGTGTGGTTACACCCTGAGATTCATGTGCAAGGGTCCTAGGTGGCTGTTGACACCTTTAATCCAGTTTAGGGGGCATCGGTAAAGGCTGATGTGAAACACCAGCGACGTGGGCCAAGAGTGTGTTGTGTCTTCTCACACCACTCACATTCCCTACTTCCCATCCCTTCCCTCTCTCCCCTTCTCTTTCTTTTTCCTTCTTCTCTTAAAAAATGTTTACATAGTCTGGGCGGTGGTGGCGCACGCCTTTAATCCCAGCACTCGGGGAGGCAGAGCCAGGCAGATCTCTGTGAGTTCGAGGCCAGCCTGGGCTACCAAGTGAGTTCTAGGAAAGGCGCAAAGCTACACAGAGAAACCCTGTCTCGAAAAACCAAAAAACAAAACAAAACAAAAAAAAGTTTACATTGATTGAGTCATTGTGTGTGTGTGTCACTGTGTGTGTCATTGTGTGTGTGTGTCACTGTGTGTGTCATTGTGTGTGTGTCACTGTGTGTGTATCATTGTGTGTGTGTGTCACTGTGTGTGTGTCATTGTATGTCGTGTGTGTCATTGTGTATGTGTGTGTGTCATTGTGTGTAGGGGAGGCGGGGGTGCTTACACAAGCCATGTTTCCAGCTGGCGGCCATAGGACAATTTGCAGGAGTCCTCACTTTCTACAGTGTGGGTTTCTGATGGAACTCAGGTTGTCAGCCTTGGTGACCATCTTGCTCCTCTCTCTCTCCTCTCTTTCTTCTTTTTCCTTCCTGCCTTCCTTCTTCACTCCTTTCTGTTTTATGGTTTCTCCCCAAGCAGGTCTCATGTATCTCAGGCTGGCCTAAGACTCCCTATGTAGCCAAGGATGCCCCTGAACTTCTGATTCTGCTGCCTTCACCACCCAAGTGCTATGGTCACAGGCATGTGCTACCATGCTGGTTTATGCAGTGCTGGAGCATGGAACACCAGGGTGGTCCTTTGTAAGAACAGTACACACTTTTAATTGCTGAGCCATCTCTCCAGTGCCATACAGAAGTCCGTCCTTCCTTCCTCCCTTCCTCCCTTCCTTCCTTCCTTCCTTCCTTCCTTCCTTCCTTCCTTCCTTCCTTCCTTCCTTCCTTTCTCCTATCCCCTCTTTCTTTCTGCAACATTAGGGCTTGAACCCAAGACCTTGTGCATATTAGGCTAGTAAGCACTACCCCCATCCTTTTTATAATTTGTATTTTGAGGCAAGGTCTCACTAAGTTGCCCATTTTAGCCTTGAATTCAAGCTGTAGCTGAGGCTGGATCTTTAGCTCCTTCTACCTCAGCCTCTAAAATACCCAGAGTTATAGGCATGTGCCATCATGCTTGGCTTCAGTGTAACACACAGAACAAATACCATGTGTGTGAGCCTGCACACATGTGTGCTTGGATGTGTATGAGTGCACGCCACTGTGAGCAAGTGGAGGTCAGAGACAACTGCTTGGAGGTGCTTCTCTCTTCCCACCACGTGGGTCCAGGGACCAACCTCTGGTCATCGGGCTTCATGGCAAGCAATTTTGCTTGCTGAACCATCTCACTAGTCCTCAACACAACACATCTGATGCCAGATCTGAAAGAGGAAATTCCTCATGAATCAAGCAGATACCAGATGTCCTGTAATTTAATTCAATTCGGTTCTGACATGTCTACGTGCAGATCACATCTGGTTCCACAGGTTAAGGACACAGCCATATGAGTCTCAGTTTTCCCATCTGTAGATGGGGGACAATACTAACACTGTCTATTTTACAGGATGGTGATGATGACCAGAAAGATCAACAATTAAGTTATTCAGAGTGAGCACCAGCCGGACGATGGGAGGAGTCCCCTGAAGTGCTGTCTTCTGGACATGACATGGCCACTGAACTCACAGAAGGCACAGTTACCTGTACTTGACTGGACTCAGCAGTGTTGGAGCATGGGCGAGTGAGGGACTCCCAGGGCCCCATCCCTCATCAAGGAGCTATTGGCTGTTAATGATTGCTGGGGAAAGGGAGTCTTTTTCCCCAGAAGTGTTGCCAGAGTCCAGTATATAATCCCCCACCCATGCTCATGCAAGCAACCCTAATTACATGCAGGGAGTCACACAAAAGAAAGGTATGAAAGTAGGGCAGGGCTTGTTAGGAAGAAGGCTTCAGTGGGAGAGAGAGGACTACAACAGGATGATGGTGTGTGTGTGAAAATGGTCAAAATGCACACATATGTGAAATGGTCAAAGAACAAAAAATTAAAAAATTTAAAAGCCATTAAAAATGAATTACTTGAGCAGTGGTGGTGCATGACCTTAATCTCAGCACTCAGGAGGCAGGGGCAGGCAGATCTCAGTGGGTTCGAGGCCAGCCTGGTCTACAAATCTAGTTCCAGGAAAGGCAGGGAAACAGAGAAACCCTGTCTCAACAACAACAACAACCTAATTACCCACAGTGTTGTCTGGTATGTAGTATGCTCTCAGGATGTTAGTGCCTGTACTTTGGATTTACCTGCAATAAATTAGGGTTCCTGTGACCCCCTCTTTTTATTCAGCCACTTTTGCTAGATCATTAGCTCCTAGGACTAAGGGAAGTACTTTTCTTATATTTCTTGGTTATTCTTTAGAATGTTGTAAATGATGTAGGATTGGTGTTGCTGAAGGAGTCTTAGTTGGGGTTTCTATTGCAGTGAAGAGACACAATGACCATGGCAACTCTTCTAAAGAAAACCATTTAATTGGGGTGGCTTACAGTTCAGAGGTTTAGTCCATTATCATCATGGCAGGACGTGGCAGCATGCAGGCAGACATGGTACTGGAGAAGGAGCTGAGAACGAAGGAGCTACATCTTGATCCCGAAGGCAACAGGCAGTGAACTGTCTTACTAGGTGTAGCTTGAGCATATATGAGAACTCAAAGCCCACTCCCACAGGGACACACTTCCTCCAACAAGGCCACACCTCCTAATAGTGCCACTCCCTATGAGCTTATGGGGGCCAATTACATTGAAACTACCACAGAGTCTAAGGCAGGATAATCATAAGCTTGAGGCCAGCCTGGGCTGCAGTACAAGTTTGAGGCTAGCCTGGGACACATAGCAAGGCCCTGTCTCAAAATATAAACAAAGAAATGAAAACTAAACAAAAACAGGACTGAGGAGATGGCTCAGGGGGAAAGAGCTTGCTTTGCAAGTCTGGGGTCTGAGTTCAGATCCCCAGGACCAAGTAAGCTGGGTGTGATAGTGTGTGTCTGCAATCCCTGAGAACCAAGTAAGCTGGGTGTGACAGTGTGTGTCTGTAATCCCAGAGAACCAAGTAAACTGGGTGTGATAGTGTGTGTCTGCAATCCCTGAGAATCAAGTAAGCTGGGTGTGACAGTGTGTGTCTGCAATCCCAGAGAACCAAGTAAGCTGGGTGTGATAGTGTGTATCTGTAATCCCAGAGAACCAAGTAAACTGGGTGTGATAGTGTGTGTCTGTAATCCCAGAGAACCAGGTAATCTGGGTGTGACAGTGTGTGTCTGTAATCCCAGAGAACCAGGTAAGATGGGTGTAACAGTGTGTGTCTGTAATCTCAGAGAACCAGGTAATCTGGGTGTGACAGTGTGTGTCTGTAATCCCAGAGCTCCCATAGTAAGACCGGGAGACAGGAAACCCTGGAAGACCAGCTACGGCTGTAAGCAGCAGTGAGCAAGAGACCCTGTTTCAAGCAAGGAGTGAGGCGAGGGTTGATACCTGAATTTGTCCTCTAACCTCCATACTCTTCCTAGAGGGAGGCTCCTTAAGATTCAGAAAGTCAATGACTCACAAGCATCAGCGTCCCTGAAACCTACCAGAGGACAGTGCCCCTCCCTGCAGTAAGTACTGCCGAGGAGAGGAGACTCAAAGCGCTGTGAGGAAACCCGGTAAATCTATTGGTTTGTCAAGCTGGACTCTGGTGGTGGCGTTACTGAATCTGTAGCAAATCTGGGGTTCACATCTCCCCAGGAAAAGTGTCACACAACAGGGATGCACCACTTTCCTGGCACATGGATGTGTTTGCCAATCTGGAAACTCTTTGAACCTCACAGTTCAATATTTTTATGGAGGTGTTTCCACACAGCATGATTGATTATTAACTTCACTTTCAAGCCTTCTCTTGTTTGGAGCTTGAGGGGTGGAACAGAAATCTAATCAATGGCTCACTTTTCCTTGTGACCAGCCCTTGACACACTCAGGAAATTCAGAGCCATGCAGGAAATCCGGACGTCTTTGGAGCTCTGTGTCAGGATTTGGGGCCGAGGACCAACTATTAGAATAGCAGTTGCACAGGGGCCAGGGATGTGACTGGCTTAGTAGAGCTGTCGTCCAGCATTGATGAAGTCTTGGTTTTCCCCTCATTCCTGCATAAACCGGGTGTGGTAGTAGCGCTGGACCATCATCCAGCACTGAGGGAGTGGAAGCAGGAGGATCAGGAGTTCAAACTCTTCTTTAACTATACAGTTTTGGTTTTGTTGTTTTGTTTTGTTTTGGAGGGTGGGTGGGTAGGTTGGGTTTGCGTGTGTGTGTGTGTGTGTGTGTGTGTGTGTGTGTGTGTGTGTGTGTGTGTGTAGGTGTATATGTGTACATGTGTGCATGCTTGTGTATGTGGGTGCAGACCATGGGTGTTTCTCTTCAGGACACTATCTGCCTTGGTTTTTTTGTTCCTTTTTAAAAAATTAAAAAAACCCACATCATGTTTTTATTAATTCTTTAAGAATTCCATACAAACATACAATGTATTTTGATCACATTCACCACCAACTCTTTCCTTTAACTTCTTCAAGACCTATCCTCTCAACCATCCCTCTCAACATCCTCTTCTCCTTTTCCTTTTTTAAATTTGTATTTTCTGAGTTTCTTTGTTATCAAGAAAAACAAAGAATTAAAAAAAATATGGCTGGGAATCTTGGCATAGGCCTTTAATCCCAGGACTCAGAGGGCAGAGGCAGGCAGATCTCTATGAGTTTAAGGTCAGTCTGGTCTACACAGTAAGTTCCAGCCCTTCCATGGCAACATAGTGAGTCTCAAAAAAAAAAAAAAAAAAAAAAAGAATACATTTTAAAGTGTGTGTGCCACAGCACATGTGTAGAGGTCAGAGGGCAACTTGAAGGAGTCAGTTCTCTCCTTTCACCATGAAGGTCCGGAGCTCAAACTCAGGCCCTCAAGCTTGATGGCAGGTAAGTGCCTTCTCCCTGAGCCACCTCACCAGCTACTCTTGGCTTTTATTGAGATGGGGTCTCTCATTTGGCCGAGGGATCACCAGTTAGGTTAGGCTGGCCACTTAACTGCTGCCTCCTCAGTGCCAGGATTACAGTCGCATCCACAGTGCATTGTGGCTTCTTCCTCTCCTCCTCCTCCTCCTCCTCCTCCTCCTCTTCTCCTTCTTCCCCTTCCCTTGTTCTTCTTCCTCTTCTCCTCCTCCTCTTCTTCTTCTTCTTCTCCTTCTTCCCCTTCCCCTTCTTCTTCTTCTCCTCCTCCTTTTCTTCCTTCTCCTCCCCCCTCCCCCTTCCCCTCCCCTCCCTCTTTCCCTTTCTTCTTCTTCTTCTTCTTCTTCTTCTTCTTCTTCTTCTTCTTCTTCTTCTTCTTCTTCTTCTTCTTCTTCTTCTTCTCCTTCTTCCTCTTCCCCTTCTTCTTCCTCTTCTCCTCCTCCTTTTCCTCCTTCTCCTCCCCCCTCCCCCTTCCCCTCCCCTCCCCCCCCCCCTCCCCTCCCTCCTTCCCTTTCTTCTTCTTCTTCTTCTTCTTCTTCTTCTTCTTCTTCTTCTTCTTCTTCTTCTTCTTCTTCTTCTTCTTCTTCTTCTTCTTCTTCTAAGTGTGGGCCCTAGGGATCAAACTCGGGTCCTCATGCTTATCTGGCAAGCACTTTATCAGCTGAGCCATCTCTCCAGCCCCATTTTTTGTTTTTGAGACAGTGATTCACTCTGTATAGTCTGGCCTTTGTCTTGGGACCCTCCTGCCTCAGATTCCTGTCATATTTTACTGGGAAATGCCCCAGCCTGGGCTGAATCCCAGGTGAGTTCCCTTATCTGAAGATCTGTGCTCTAGTCTTCCTAATAGTTTAATAGATGGCTCCTTGGGGGACGACCCCAGGGCAGGTCAGGTGTGACCTGACCTTGGACCATTGTTTCCTCACTCTTGATAAAATGGGGCCCCTAGTTTATGTAGTGCTGGTTTTAGCCCAGGGTTTGGTGCAGGCTAGACAAGCACTCTACAACTGATTTACACCCTGTGCTCTCTGTCCAAATCTATTTATTCATTGCTGTTGTTGTGGGATGGTAGTGGTGGGTGTGCATACTTCAGAACACAGTTTAGGGAGTGGGAATCTCTTCTTTCACTTTGGGGTCTGGGGACTGACCTCGAGTCGTTAGTCTTATACAGCAAACACTTTTTTTTGTTTGTTTTTGTTTTTGTTTTTCGAGACAGGGTTTCTCTGTGTAGTTTTGGTGCCTGTCCTGGATCTCACTCTGTAGACTAGGCTGGCCTCAAACTCAGAGAGATCCACCTGTCTCTGCCCCCTGAATGCTGGGATTAAAGGTGTGCGCCACTACCACCTGGCCAGCAGACACTTTTATCTACTAACCCAACTTGCAATCTCACTGTGTATCCTTGGCTAGACTGGAACTTGCTATGTAGACCCAGGAGGGCCTTGAACTTACAGAGATAAGCTTTTCTCTGTTTGCCAAGTGCTAAAGTGTGTGGGCCATGAGAGGTGTGAGCCACCACATCAGTCAAGGTCCAAATCTTAATCTCAGTGTCTGTGCTGAATTTCTCTGTAAAATTTGTCTGTAAAATGGGGGTCATTATGCTTGCTATGTCCAGATTCTGGGGGAATCTAGACAATGGATGAAAAAGCTTTCTGCCAGCCCTAATGGGATGCCCAGAGGTCACCGGGTTAGGCTTGGAGCAAGGCTAGAGCTCTGGGGCCAGGCACTAGAGACCTGCAGATAGAGGTTGGTTATTCAGCTCTACTTCTGACAGTCTTTGGGAGTGGTGGTATTTTGAATGAGAATGACCCCCATAGACTCATGTGTTTGAATAATTGGCCCGAAGTTGCGAACTGTTTGGGAAGGATTATGAGGTGTGGCCGTGGAGGAGGATGTATGTCACTGGGCAGGCTTCCAGGTTTCGAAAGATTCAGCATTCCTAGTGTGCCCACCCTCTGCTTCCTGCTGCTGTTCCAGCAGCCAGCCACGCCTTTGCTCAGCCAACATGGATGGCCATGCTCCTGTTTTAGTCACTGTTCTAATTGTTGTGAGGAGACACCACATCCACAGCAACTCTTACAGAAGAAAGCATTTAACTGGGGCTGGCTTATGGTTCAGAGGTTTAGTCCATTATTGTCATGGCAGGAGCATGGTGGCACACAGGCAGACAAGATGCTAGAGGAGTAGCTGAGAGTTCTACATCTAGATCTGTAGGCAGGAGGGAGAGGGGGGGGGAGAGAGAGAGAGAGAGAGAGAGAGAGAGAGAGAGAGAGAGAGAGAGAGAGAGAGAGAGAGAGAGACTGGGCTTGGGCTTGGCTTGGGCCTTTGAAACCTCAAAGCCCACCCCAGTGACAGATTTCCTCTACTAAGGCCACACCTATTCCAACAAGGCCACAATTACTAATCCTTCTCAAATATGCTCCTCCTTGATGACTAATCATTCAAACATATGAGCCTATGGGGGCCATTCTTATTTAAACCACCACACCTCCCAAACCATAACTCTCAGAATACAGAGCCAAGCAGATCTCTGTGTGTTTGAAACCAGCCTGGTCTACAAAGAGAGTTCAGGCCAGCCAGGGTACAACGTGAGACCCCATTTAAAACAACAACGAACTTTTCTAAAAAAGCCGGAAGGACTAAGGATATAGCTCAGGGGTAGAGTGCTTACCTAGCACCTCTACAGTAAAGCTGTGGGTTCAGTTCCTACTACTGTCCAAACAAGAACACAGCAACAGAAACAACACAGAAAACAAACAACCTAAAACAATGTTTTCTTTGTAGAGAGCACCCTTGGTGGTTTGGAGCCAGGCTTCAGAACTCAGTGTCAGGAAACACACACATACCCCTAAAATAAACAAACAAACAAACAAAGAAACCCAAAAACTCAGGCTCTAGCCTGTATTATAAATGGTGATTCCATCAGGCTCCCATACATTCTCTAAATCTCAGTGTCCATGTGATAATACTACTTTCCTTGGCTAGGCTTGCTGGGGACCAAATGTACCAGTATTTGAGAGTTACCCTTCAACTGCAGAGTTCATTATTGTGATGCATATTCCAGCTATTGCGTCAGAGCCAGGCACAGTGATTGACAGCGTAGTTTCCAGTGCTGCTGCCTGATCCTGGCCATGTTGGTCAACTCCTCTGAGTGTCAAACGTTGTTCTATCAAACAGGGACTCTGTGGATACTTGCTTATTCTCCAGAGTTTCAAGACAAACAGCAAACAAGCGAACACTTGAGAAACCATTGGGGCCCTGAGAGGTTGCCACTGTCAGCCTAGTTTGGGTTTGTGCCAAATGTACAGGTGTGATAGTCCCTTGACCCACTCTTTTCCCTATGCCCTGAGATAAAGAACCTTATAGCCAAAGGCCAGGTAGTCCTGGGGCTACACAAGACCAACTTGGGTCCTCCAGCTTCCCCAGGCAGGAGTTGTGTGTGTGTGTGTGTGTGTGTGTGTGTGTGTGTGTGTGTGTGTGTGTCTTTTGTAGGGGGAGATAGCATCTACATATTTGAGAACACATAGGCAGATTCAGCCCCCAAGTCCTTTATTGTTTTCTTCAGTTTCAATAGAAAAGGATCTTTAGAATCCTAGCCCAGGCTCTGGGGAATGAATCTGGTAGTCAAGATGTGGGGGAAAAGGCTTCCCATTTTGATTCTGAGGGATGACCCCCACACCCACCCTAGTCACTTGTTCCCATGTCCCATCAACACCCTTGGTGAATCATAGTGCAGTCTTGAAGTTTAAGCGTGAGGATGACAAGGTGCAGCGGACACCAGGGGTCCCTCCTGCTGACCCTGGTTGTGGGGTGGAGGGCTGAGTATTGTGACTTCTAGCTGAGTCCAGGAGAGACTGAGGTATTGCCCCACTTGGTGGGCTTGCACAGGCTGGGTTCATCTGAGGTCATAGTGTAATGGTCCACTCTTCCTGAGTTTTGAGGTTCAACTTGGTCAGCTTTTGCCCCCGAGATCAGTTCTAGGCAGTTCCAGAATCTCCACTTGCAGATGTCATGGAACTGTAGGTGCACTGAAGCTTCTCTGCTAGAGCAGCTGTAATTGGACTGTTAGCCGCAAGGCTTGCTTTGCTGGCCCTGGTTGGCCCTGAGCTCCTGCTACACTCACCACCTCCAGCTGGTATTTCCCCCGTCTTGGTCTCCTATGGCCCAGGTGCAGGGAGCTGAAGCCATCCAGGTGATTCATGCAGAAGAAACCTTGGTTGTTGCCTCTGGCAATAACGTAACGGATCTGGCCTCCCAGACTCTCAAGAGCTGGTCGAAATTCTAAGATATGCTTGACTTGGCCAAGGTGTGAGATGTACAGGCTCAAGGTCAAGGGGACTTCCGTGTCAAGGGTGGCCAGGCTCACCTAGGAGGAGGGACCAAGTGAACTGTCAGAGACTGTGTAAATAAGGATGCAAGTGGGTAGGGGAGGAAGCTGTCATATATGCTTGTTTCCTGGCTTCGTTGTCTAGTCATCTATGTAGAATGCCAAGATCAGCTAACAGCAAAGGCTAGATCTGGTTCTTTGATGGAAAAAAGAAAACTCAAGAGGAGAGAGACTGAGGACGGCTCAGGTAATAAAGTGCTTGCAGTCAAAGTCTGAAGATCTGAGTCCAGATCCCCATTACCCACGTAGAAAGCTGGGTGTGCTGGTACATGCCTATAGTTTCACTGGAAGGGCGGGGAGAGGAGGATCCCAGGGGCTTGCTAGCCAGTGGTAATACCAAATGGTGAGCTCCAGGTTTAGGGAGAGTCTCAAAAAAAAAGTAAGTGGAGCTGGGTCCACAAGTTGGCTCAGCAGGTAAAGGAGCTTGCCATCAAACCTGAGGACCAAAGTTTGGTTCCCTAGAACCACATGGAAAAGAAGAGAGAATTAGTTCCTGCCAGTTGTTCACTGACTTCCACATCCATGTGTTGTGCATGAATGCAGACAAACACAATCACCACCATCTCCAAATAAATATATTTAAAAATTTTTTAAAAAGGTGGAGAAAAATTGTAACTTAGTGGTGTTGTCCTCTTGTCTCCAGACATGGCATACTCGAGAACGCGTATGCATATGCATCTCTCTCTCTCTCTCTCTCTCTCTCTCTCTCTCTCTCTCTCTCTCTGAGAGAGAGAGAGAGAGAGAGATGCACAGACACACACACACAAAGATACCGACAAATATAAACATACCAAAAACAAAACATAAAAAAGCAACAGTTAGGGGATCAAAGATTTGCCTTGAAAACCCAGCAAGCAGTTCAGGCAGGTAATGTCTGGCTCCAGAGACCTAAGGTGGTTCAACAGCAGCCTAGGTGACTGGTGTTATAACCAAGGGCCTTCCCCTCCCCCAAAAACCCCTACATCTCCAAAAAAGATGCCAGAATCTACAGAGTTACAAACAGAATACTCAGCTATGTCAGAAAGAGAGCAAGGAGAGGCCCCAGAAGAGCCTTCCGCTGGCTTCCATTGTACTTCCTGTATCTGGCTCTCTCTGAGAGGACCCTGTGTATAGATGACAAGCCCTTCTTTATTTGAGCTCTTCTGAAGTGCCTTCATGGTCCTGGCAGCAGGACAGTAAGCCAATGGGTCTCAATGGCAGGCCACCCCAGGCTGGGTGATGTATCTGATTCCACAAAGGGTTATCTGTGCTTACCCCCCCCCCCCCCCCCCCCCCGTGGGTTGTGCTGTGTCTGTTTCACCTCATTTACATGCCTGTGGAGTTATCTGCTGTTACTTTGAGAGAAAGCTATTTCAGTCTCTCTGCCCCGTTCTGGGGAATCTTTCCTTTCTGAGGAGCACGGCTCAGACATATGCTCTTATTGACACCTCCTGGCATACAGTGGTATTACAGGCAAAGACACTGCACTGCCCTCTCCCCATAGCATGCTGTGTCCATCCCAGGATCCTTGGCAACCATTCTACTCTCAGTGAAAATCAAGGGCTAGCAGTAAATGTGGGATAATTTCTACAGGGAAAGTTTCTTTTCTTAAACAAAGGAAAAAGTAACTGAAGAAAACAGAAGATAAAGTAATTCATAATAGATTCATATTAGCTAACTATATGTTGAAAGTCTCTCAGACCTAAATAAAGTAATCCACAATAGATTCATATTAGCTAACTATATGTTGAAAGTCTCTCATACCTAAATCAAGTAATCCACAATAGATTCATATTAGCTAACTATATGTTGAAAGTCTCTCAGACCTAACATGTCCATCCCATTCTGGCTTTATTTTTCTCTGTTGCATGGATTATTTTTTTCATATATTATAAAGCATGCCATGTTTTCCTTAATGATCCCCCCCCCCCCCCCCCCCCGCAATCAGAGTATCATGAGGGCAGGGGCTCTTTTTCTCTCCATTTGCTTATTACAGATTGCTTAGACTCTGTCCAGAAGGAGCCTTAATTGTCACAGGAATGAGGTAACATGCCCAAAGGATATGTTCCCTAGAAAAGACCTAGGCTGAGAAAGTATAGAAGATCCAGTCAGGCACCATAGTATGAGGAAGAAATTGAGACAAGTAGTTTAATGGTTGCCTGCTTTTCTCTTCCTTTTTTTGAGACAGAGTCTCATGTAGCCTAGGCTAATCCCAAACATACTACAGAGCCAAGGATGTCTAGTTTTATGCAGTGCTGAGGAGCATGGCTCAGATATTTGAATCTAGGACCTTGTGCATGCTAGGCAAGTAATTTACCAGCTAAGCTATGCTTCTAGATCTAGAGTTCTCTCTTGAGGGATCACAGCCTCCTTCTGATACCCTCAGTGCCTTAGTTGGCCCACCCAGTGTAGTCCCCATGGCACCTGATGACCTCCTTGGATGCTGCGTCTTGGTCGGTCCTGAGGGGAGAGGCCATTGATCTTGCATTCATAGCAGGCTTCAGGCGAGAGTGATTCTTCCTCATCTGGGGTGGCCTGAGATCCAGAGCTGAACCCAGGGCTGGAGATGCAGTGTCTGAGCCAGATGGTATGGGGGAAACATTCAGAAGCAGGCTGGTGGCACCTCACCCACCATCTCCCATCATCCCTCATTCGGAGCCACAGGCACAGACACCATCATGCAAATGTGTGCGGTGTGTGTGTGTGTGTGTGTGTGTGTGTGTGTGTGTGTGTGTGTGTTGGCATGGCTGTGTATGTGTGCAACATACTGGAGGGATGTGTGTATCCCTTGGTTTACCTGGACATTGGTATGAACACAAGAATAGGATGACGTACATGGAATAGAAGGATGTATCTGTGTATGTCCAGAAACATGTACATTTGGGAACATGTATATATGGAAGACGATGTTCACATACACCTGTGCTCACTGGGATGCATGGATCTATATGAGTGGGGTTGTAATGTGAGTACAGTAAGCCCCCCTTGTGCACAAGCACAGTCAACCCTCTGTATCTAGAGGTTCTGCATCCTCATATTCAACTCGTTATCCAAGGATTGAAGATGGTTAGAGTGTTGTGATCTTTTATGTATTTAGACCTGTCTTAGTTACCTCCCTACTGAACATTTAGAGACTTTTTTCTTTGTTAATATTCCATTAACAAAACAGTGCAACAGTTACATATACCGACTTATATTTTATTAGGTGTTACAAATTATGCAGAGATGATTATTTACTTTCAAGATAGGGTCTCATATAATGAAGAGGGAGTTTGTAACCTCAAACTTTCTATATTGGTTCTCTTACTTGTACCTCCCAAATGCAGTGATTACAGGCATGTGCCACCATGACTGGTGTACACAATGCTGAGGATCAAACCCAGGACTTTGTATATACTAGGCAAGCATTCTACCCACTGAGTGACATCCCCTGCCTGTGATGATTTAGAGTATATGGAGGAATGTATGTAGGTTCTGTGCAAATACCATGTCATTTTATATAAGGAACTAGAACATCCTTGCATTTGGGTATTCATGAGATGGAGATGAGGTTATTGTATAGCAATTTTCTTGTGTTGATGAAGCATTCTGTCCTTGAGGAAGGTTCCATAAGACACAGGAAATAAACAACTCATAAGTTTTGGGAAGTTGCTAAAACTTACTAAATGCACAAGACCTCCACCCCCTACCATGGTTATATAAGTAGTAAGGCACACTGAGAAGACTCTTGTTAAGGTGCCTGTGAATCTTGCAGTGAGCTCCAGGATTCCAGATTCCCTGAGTCATTACCCATGCTGGGTGGGCCTGCTTTCTTTCTTTCTTTTAAGATTTATTTATATATTTTATGTATATAGGTGTTTTTCTGCATGCATGTCTGCACACTAGAAGAGGAAATTGGATCTTATGGGACTACATTTATAGGTGGTGTGAGCCACCATGTGGATGCTGGGAATTAAATTCAGGACCTCTGGAAGAGCAGCGAGTGCACTTCACTGCTGAGCCATCTCTCCAGCACATGGGCTTTCACTGATGTAATTTCCTCTGCGACAGCTATGTTTCTGTAGATAACTCTCACCCACACTCCTACAAGTAACCCATTGGTTAGTAGTAAACTCACTGGTTCACCAAGTTGGAATTTAATGGTATCATTACTCTGATCAGTTGTTATTTCTGTATCTGGGGTGAGGAGACATTTGTTCATGTCTCCCAGGACTCGTGTTACATAAGGGGGTACAGGACACAATCTTCCATGGATATGGAGAGAGGACTTTATTTCTGTGTGTGAGGGTTCATATGTGCTTCTTCATGTGTGTTAAATTGAATCCTGAATGACCCATGAGTGTCTCCAGGTGGTGGGCACACACAAGCCTGAATGTAAAATGAGATAACGACATAGACCTGTACTCATGCACATTGGCATTTATGAATGACTTGGGCTTGTTAGACAGACATGAGTGTGTTGACAGTTATGGACCAGAGGTGTGCACAGATACTGCCTATGTCCAGTTCTCTGTATACACATGTAGGCACCTATATACACAGGCAGATGGAGCTTTGCTAATGGATTCTGTGTGTATGTGAGTCCAATGTTCATGATCAGGGCATGAAGAATGTGCCCACTACACTCTTGCCCATCCCACTTGAGCCTCTTACCCTTGTCCAGCCCGGAAGTAGCCTTGGGGACAGCCACACAAGAAGCCACCATGTGTGTTGGCACAACCATAGCTGCAGGGGTTGCCTTGCTCTGCACACTCATCCACATCCTGGCAGCCTCCAAGGTCCTGGTTGAAATTGAAACCAGAGGGGCAGACACAGTGGAAACTGCCAAGTGTATTGTAGCAAGAGGCACTACCACAAGCTGTGGGTGATAAGGCACACTCATTTTCATCTGTAGGTGGAGGGAAGAAGAGGGACAGAATGGAAGAAACCTTGTATGCCTGGAGCCTTTCACCTGAATACACACTACTCTGTTCTGCACCCATGGCAGACATTACTAACCAATCACAGCACTCTTTACTGTATAAAACTTCTAGTGAACTCATTAGGAGTTCTCAAACTATGGCTATCTTCCTTCATCCACTGCATATTCTACTCCTGGACCTTATAGCATTTCTCAAATTTTTCCCTATATCCTAAGTGGTAGGTTAGTCTAGAACAAGCTTTCTCATGTGGGGCCAAGTCATTCTGTGGTAGGATCAAGAACTGCAGGATACTGAGCAGTAGCCTTAGGCTTTGCTTGTGATACTAGGAGCACCTCATGCCCTACTTGCTGTATTCACAATAAACAATACTAATCAGCCACGGTACCCTTTATTATGCAAAGCCTCCAGCAAGCTTGTCAGAAGCCCTCAGACATCTGTCTTCCTCTCTGTCTACTATCCTTCCTCACAACTTCTAGCCTCTGTTGCAAAGCCTGTGAGAGCTGTGAAAGGGAGAGCTGAGGAGAAGTCACAGGTCTCAGGAGAACAAGTGGATTCCACAAAGGTAGAGTGTAAAAAAGATATATATCTATCTTTAGATCTATATATATCTATATATCTCTATCTATATCTATCTATCTATCTATCTATCTATCTATGCATGTAACACAATGAAAAAAGAGGTCAGGGATTGGAAGAGAGCGAAAGGAGGGGTATATGGGAGGGTTTGGAGGAGGAAAGGGATGAAAGAAATAATTTAATTATATTATAATTTCAAAAATAAAAAAGATAGACTATGGGAGAAATGTTGAAAGTGATAGTGATGAGGTTGTTGATAGGAAAGTCTGCCGCAGCAAAAATATGGGGAAAGTTGTGATACAGAAGGCAAGCTCTTTACCTCAAGAGCCTCTGAAATTGCTATGGTGAAGATACAGCATGTGTGTCTTGACAGACATTGCTGTACTCATGGCAGACATGACTCATCAACCACACCATTCTCTCCATTGCATCTATGGCAGGCATTGCTAATCAATCACAGCATTCTTTCTGTTGCACACTTGGTAGACATTGTTAATCAATCCCAGTCTTTTGGTGCTGCACTTTTTCCAGCTAGTCAGGCCATCACTCTGTAACAAATGGACTTGAACACCATGCCATGTTTGTTCACCAGTTCAGTGACTTCCCAGTGGTCAACCTTTTAGGTTGGCCCATTTGATTTATAAATGGACCAGCTTGTCATAACCTCTGCAGGGGAAAAGATTCCTACTTGTCTGCTCTGAAAAGATTCTGCTGGGTGCTTGGCTGTGGTGATATATTGTGCACCCTAATAAAATTTGCCTGAAGATCAGAGAACAGAACCAGCCACTAGATTAAACATAAATGCCAGGCAGTGGTGGCATACACCTTTAATCCCAGCACTCGGGAGGCAGAGATCTGTCTGGATCTCTGTGAATTCAAAGCCACCCTGGACTACATGAGATTGACTCAGTCGGGGAGGGAAATAGAGCCAGGAAGTGGTGGCCACACACCTTTCATGCCAGTACTTGGGAATCACAAACCTTTAATCCCAGCACTAAGAAGGAAGTGATATATGGCTGGGCAGAGAAAGGTATATAAGGCTTGCGGAGATAGGAACTAAAGTTTTTTGGTTGAGAACCTCTTTTCAGATGGGGAGCCCTTTTCAGCTGGACCCCTTTTGGCTGAGGACTCAGAGATATTCAAACAGGATTCGTGGAGTTGGCGAGGTGAGACATGGCAATGGCTTGTTCCTTTGTTTCTCTGATCTTTCAGCATTTAACCCAATATCTAGCTCTGGGTTTTTTTTATTATAAAACTTATTAGATTTTGTGTTACACTTGGCTTCCTCCCAGCCCTTGCCACTCACCCACACACTGGGCCCACTGGGAATGCTGGGTGAAGCCTTGGGGACAGCTGCAACGGTAGCCCCCCAGCTCATTTTGACAGCCAAACTGGCAGCGGTGGGGCCTGTCACATTCGTTTACATCTGAGACACAGAGAAAGAGAGAAAAGAAGAGGGAGAGAAGATTGGTGGGTGGTTCTTGGGATCATCCCCCAGACTGAGAACCCATTGAAACTCTACTTCACCTTCACAGCTGTGGCCAGAGCTGTCCAGGATGAAGCCTCTATTACACTCACAGTAGAAGCTGCCTGGGGTATTTTGGCAGTGTCCATGGGTACCGCATAGGCCAGGTTGGGCCAAGCACTCATCATTATCTATAGAGGACAGAGAATGGGTCAGGTTGCTTTGTGGTTATGGGTGAATATGAAGGGCTATCATGCTGGTGTTGACACTATACTGTGTGGCTTCAGAGGAGTCACTCCCCTTCTGTGGTGGTTTCTTCCTCTGTGAAATGAGGTAAGAATAGTTCCTAGCTCACAGAATTGCAGCCAGTGTTTGTGGTACTGCATGTAAAGTGCTTTGCTTGGAGTGTTAGGAAGGTTCCCAGGAATCCACAAGGATGACTCCACCATAGACTACTGGCAATAGTCGAGAGGGTGCCTGAGCTGGCCTACTCTGATGATTGGATGGCGGAATACCCTAACTGTCATCATAGAACTCTCATCCAGTGACTGAAGGAGGCAGATGCAGAAATCCATGCTGGGTCCCAGGAAGAGCTCCGGGAGTCCAGTCGATGAGAGAGAGGAGGGATTCTATGAGCAAGAGATGTCGAGACCATGATTGGAAAAAGTGCAGAGACAACTAGCCAAACTAGTGGAAGTGCATAAACTGTGGACCAGTAGCTGGGGAGCCCCCATGGTGCTGGACTGGACCCTCTGGATGGGCGAGACAGTTGTTTGACTTGAACTGTTTAGGGGCCCCCAGGCAGTGGGACCGGGACCTGACCCTAGTGCATGAGCCGGCTTTTTGGAGCCTGGTGCCTATGGTGAGACACTTTGCACAGCCTTGGTGCAGGAAGGAGGGGCTTGGATCTGCCTTGGCTGGATGTGCCAGGCTCTGCTGACTCCCCATGGGGTACCTTGCCTTGGAGGGGGTGGGAATGAGGGGTGCGTTGGGGGGAATGTGGGGGTCGGGAAGAGGGAGTATGGGGGAATCTGTGGTTGGTGTGTGGAGTGAGTGGAAAATCTCTTAATACAAAAATTATTATTAAAAAAAGTGCTTTATTTGAAATGAGAATTCAGTGGATTTACCCATGAGAGAGCTTATGACAGTTTCCACTATGAAAGTCAGACATTACCAAAACTAGGCTGAGGATGTAGCTTAGTGGTAGCATGTTCTCCTGAAATCCCCAATACTGTTTTTAAAATGTTAACAAACCCTTATGCAGTCAGATGTGTTGCACAGGCCCATAATCTTGATTACTCAGGGGCCTGAGGCAGGAGGATCACAAGTTCAAGGCCAGCTAGGTCAATTTAGTGAGAACCTGTCTCAAAATAAAAAGCAAAATGAGGGTCTGGGCAGCTGGCTCAGTCAGTTAAGTGCCTGCTGTACAAGAATGAGGACCTGAGTTTAGTCTCCAGAACCAGATGTGGTGTTTGCCATTATCCACGGAGACAGGTGGTCCCTGGGGGCTGGGCAGCAGTTCATCCTAATCAATTAGCCCCAGTTCCTAATGAGAGACACTGTCTCAAAAAATAAGGTGGGGGTGGAGCTGGAGAAACGGCTCAGTGGTTAAGAGTCATTTTGGCTGCTTTTCCAGAGGACCCTGGTTCAATTTCCAAAGCCAAGTAGGTAACTACAGTCTATAACTCCAGTGTTCCCTGCCCGTGGCCCCTGCAAGCACTGCATGTGTGTGATACACATACATACATACATACATACAGGCATACATACATACATACATACATACATACAGGCATATATACATACATACATGCATACATACAGGCAAAACATCCATACTCATGAAATGAAAATAAGTAAAATTTCAGGTCTGGTAGTTGTGGCCCACGCCTTTAATCTCTGCACTCAGGAGGCAGAGGCAAGTGGAACTCTGAGTTCAAGGCCAGCCTGGTCTACAGAGCAAGCTTCAGGATAGCCAGAGCTACAAAGAGAAATCCTGTTTCGGAAAAAAAAAAAAAAAAAAAAAGTAAAACCTCAAACAAAACAAAACAAAAACTCCAACAAGGTGTGTGTGTGTGTGTGTGTGTGTGTGTGTGTGTGTGTGTGTGTGTGTGCTTCTGTGTGCATGTGAAGGCCAGAGATTGGCCTCAGGTGTCTTGCTCAACCAGTTCACCTTTTTGTTGAGAGTTTCTCATGGGACTTATTTATTTGGCTAGACTGACAGGCCCTCAAGGCCCTGGGACCCTACTTTCTGTACCCCCCAGGAGTGCCTAGCTTTTAATGTGAGTGATGGGGATCTGAACTCAGGTCCTCATAGCTTGAGCAGCGAGCACTTTTTGCGGACTAACACATCAGTTCCAGGATGTTTATCTATCTAATAGTCTACTAAGGACATCATTACCACAGCGGGTGCTAGCTAAGAGGGTTGGGGGAGGGGCTGAGTGTTCTCCTTGGCCGGGCTGGCACTAGAGGGAGTTCTAGTTCCCACAGGCCCAGAAGACACTAAGAGGCCACGGCAGACAGCTTTGTAGCTTTGGCTTCTGAATTACTTTCTCCAGAGTGAGTGTGTAAACTCCTAAGCTTGGGAAACATCCTGGGAAAGCTCAGTAAGAGAGACCCAGCAGGGATGGATCAGGGGGAAGGGGAGACGTGCTCGGCCCAGACCAGAGGGATTTCTGAGGGTAGCCCTCCCATCTCCCTAGGGTAATGAAGAAGGTTCTAGGTGTCACCAAGAGGCATGTATCCAGGGACTGTGTTCTAATCACCCCCTGTGCTCCGCACCTGACACATGAGGAGTGCTTGACATTGCTTTTGTCTCACAAACAGGTGAGGGTAGGGTTGTGAGGGTTGTGTTGGGGAGCGGGGTGAGAAGCAGACAACACAACTCACCGAAACAAGCCTGCTGGTGTTGTGTGAAGCCAGGAGGACAGCGGCAGGCGAAGGCGCCCACGGTGTTGACACAGATGAACTGGCAGTTGTGCTGCCTGGAGGTGCACTCATCCAGGTCTGCGGCACAGGGGGTTCCCAGGGGTCAGAGGGCAGGGCTCAAGGGTGGAGCTTAGCCAGAGGACTTGAAGGCCAAGGGGAGGTACTCAGAGGAGCTTGGGGATGGTGCTGAGGAGACAGGCTCGAGGGTGTGTGGATATGGGGTGGCTTCAGAGGGTGGTTTGAGAGGAAGTTTCAGAGGCTGGGCTTGAGGAGGGTGTTCAAGGCTGGGACCATAAGGGACCAGCCAGGGGGGCAGGGCTCAGAGGGGCCTTGAGGGAGGTGGCTCAACGGTGGGCTTGGGTGTATGTAGAGGGTGGGGAGTAGGTTGGAGGGGTTGCTCAGGGGGTAGGCTTGATAGGTGATAGCTCAAGGACAGGGGTTCAAGGGATAACCATGAGTGGGACCTAAGGGTCTGGGCTCAGGGGTGGGGCCTGTGATCACTCTTGTCACTCCAAGTAGGGTGCTCTTGCCGCTGATGGAGTGGGAAGAGAGATATCCTGGCTGTGGTGGGGTCAACTCTATGCAGCTGGGAGAGTCTTGAGTCCAACAGTGGACGGGGAAGATCGAGGGAGGGAAGGACATCACCTTTGCAGGTCCTGAGATCTTCCTCCAACAGGTAGCCACGGGGGCAGGCGCACAGAAAGGTGCCCTCTGTGTTTTTGCAGAGGAAGGAACATGGCCTGGGGTCCTGGCTGCACTCGTCCACGTCTAGATGAGATGGCAGGGAATGAGGGGACTCACACAGACATGCCCAGGGCTTGAAGGGGGCCTCACAGGCTGGGACCCCTGCTCAGACTCTGGTTATCTGAAATTGTAGAACTACTTAAGTTATTTCATTTTTATTATCAAACTTTATTTCTTTACTTTTTTATTTTCATGAGATAAGGTCTCACTGGGTAGCCCAGGCTGGCCTGGAACTCACAGAGATCCACCTGCCTCTGCCTCCTCAGTGCTGGGATTAAAGGTGTGGGACGCTATGCATGTCCCTAAAACTGTTAATGACATTTACTTATTGTCCGTGTATATGAGGGGGGCACACATATTTGACAAGTGTGCATGTGGAGGTCAGAGGACAACTTGCAGGAGTTGGCTCTCGCCTCTAACATGTGGGTCCCAGGTTTTGAACTCAGGTCAGCAGGCTTGGTGACAAGCATCTTTACCCACTAAGGCATCTCAGTGGCCCTGTTTTCTATTTTTATGCAGTGTTGGGAATCAAACCCAGGTCTTTATGTTTGTACATGACAGGAAAGAGCTCCACACCCCACCCACACTTTTTCCAATAAAAAGCCAGATAATAAATAGAGTACCTGTGGACTCAGCAATGGAAAATATTTTTTGGGAAAAAAGTACTGTACTGAACATTCAGATTATTTTCTTTCAAGTTTCCCAAGTAGTACACGTCACAACTGCTACACTGTATTGGACTTCATCAATACTGAACTGACACAGTGCATCAGCATCTATGTTACATTGAATAGAGATGAGAAATCATATAGAAATGATAATTTTATTTTATTTAAAATGAAAAAAAGATTTTGTGTGTGTTTGTATGGATGTTTTGCCTGCATATATGTATGTGTGTACCTCCTGTGTGCCAGGTGCCTGGAAGGTCAGAAAGAATGTTGGATCTCCTCAAACTGGAGCTACAGACAGTTGTGAGCTGACATGTCGGTATTGGGAATCAAACTCTGCAAGAGCAGCTGGTGCTCTTAACTGCTAAGCTATCCCTCCAGGACCCTATTTTATTTTAGAGACAGAGTTTCAATATGTAGCAGAGTCTGGCCTAGAACTCACAAAGTAGCCAAGGCTAGCCTTTAGCTCACTGCAAGCTTCCTGCCTCAGCCTCCCATGTGCTAGGATTGTAGATATGAACACCTAGCAAGATGGCTTAAATGTTTTTAGGATGCAAATATAGGAAAGGGGATTACAGGGAGGAGGTGGGGTTTGACAGAGGTGGGAAGGAGATAAGAGAGTGTAATTGAAATGTATATAATACATATAATATATAATATGATATGTAGATAATAATTATATAATATACATCCACGAAAACTTCAGAGAACAAATTTAAATAATAAAAATACTTTAAAAAGGAGTTGTAGTATGGCTCAGCAGTAGAGTGTCTTTCTAGAATATACCACCGAGGGGCTGGGGGAATGGATTAGAGGTAGAGCTCCTGACTAGAACCCAGTGAGGGGTTGGGGGTGTGGCTCAGTGGTAGAGCCCCTGCCTAGAATGTGGGGTCCCTAGGTTCCACTCTTACCATCACAAAAAGTAAAAAAAAAAAAAAACAACTAAATGAATATACAGGAGGATGTGTGTAGGTCATAGGCAAATATGTGTGTGTGTGTGTGTGTGTGTGTGTGTGTGTGTGTGTGTGTGTGTGTGTGTATGTGTGTGTGTCCCTGAGTGTTTTGTATGTGCATCATGTGAGTGCAGTAGCCTGGAGGCCTGAAGAGGGCACTGGGTTCCCTGGAATTATAGTTACAGGTTGGGGAGCTGCCCACTGTGGGTACTGGAAACTTAACTCGGGTCCTCTGCAAGTTCTCTTAACCACTGAGCCATTTCTTCAACCCCAAAGCCACCATTTTATACTAGAGGTTTAAGGAGCTCCCAATTTGGTATGGTAGGGAAATGAATATTGGAAAAAAAAACCTTTGGCTCTGAGGGATGAATGAATGTTTACCTTTATGGATGTGGTGGTTTGAATGAGAATGTCTCCCATGACCTCATGTATTTGGACCCTTGGTCCTCTGTTGGTGGTACTGTTTGGGGAGACCAAGGAGGTGAAACTTTCATGGAGAAATTATGTCACTAGGGGTGAGCTCTGAGAGTTTAGACTCCTGCAATTTCTGGTTTTCTCTCTCTTCTTTGTGCTTGTGGTTCCAGATATGACCTTTTAGCTTCCTGCACCTGCCACCATGCCTGCTGCCCGCTGCCACGCCTCCCGCCACTGTGCCCGCTGCCATGTCTCCTGTTACTGTGCCTGCTGCCATGCCTCCCAGTCATGGCAGACTCTCATTTCTCTGAAGCGTAAGCCCAAATAAACTCTTCCATAAGTTGATGCTGTCATGGTGTTTTATTACAGCAGCAGAAAATCAAACTAATATAGTTGGTTGCATTGTGTAACCACAACTAGCTAACACAATCTGCCCATCAGGAAAATAGTCACCGAAGGTAAGTAAAGACACAGGCATGGCTGTGTGCCAATAAAACTTTACTTACAACTCGGCCCTCAGATTGGAGTTTGTAACCCATGATTTGGAGAAACACCTGGTACACAGTGTAATTAAAAAAAAAAAACTTAGGATGTATGAAATAACAGGAGGAAATAAGAGCAGGAAATGTGACCGAAACAGGATGGAAATGCCAAAGAATGTTTGATTCTGGTCTATATTTTGGGTTCTTTAGGATGTGGGACCATTTTGTGCATGAAAACCAAGAGATACAAAGTGGGTAGTCCCCATGGAAATGGGGCTACAGGCTTTTACAGAAACATAACTAGACCAAAGGTACAGGGTGGGGTGGGGCTTGGCTCACCCATGCAGGCAGTGGCAGTGGCATCTGGTGTATACCCAGCTTGGCAGTCACAGTGGAAGGAACCAATGCTATTGATGCACTCGCCATGGGGGCACAGGTCAGCAAACATGTGACATTCATCCACATCTAGGAACAAGCAGAGCAGGCCAGAGGGTGGCTGGCTATCTTGTTCTCCTAAAGCACACCTTCTTCTCTACCCACAAGCCCTCTTCCCAGAGGCAAGTCCCATTTTCCTTTCCTTAACTCTGACCACATGGATGCCACCCTTAGGCTATGGGTCAGTCCTGAGCCAGCAGGATTGCTGATAGAGCTTCATTCCACTGAGTATGCACACACACACACACACACACATACACATAAACACATATACATACAAATATACACATACACATATACATGTACACACACAGATATACATACATACACCAATAAACACATACACACATTTACCTCAGCCTCAGCCTGATGAGCAAACAGCAATACCTCCTCAGGGCCAAACAGCAACACACATACTCAGAAGGACTCATAAACACGTACAGCACCTTACTTCAGCCACACACCCAGATGCTGCTGCAGAATCTTGAGTCACAGGGACATGCACCCAACCCAGGACTCCTTAGTCCCCCAGGCACACTGAAAATAGGCACTTCTGAGGTCTGGCCATATCATTGCTGTTTACTCAGGATAACCATTTCGCCCTTAGTAATATACATGGTCAGACTCACACTCATTCACAGATATGCATGCAGTCATGTACCTACCCTTATAAACTTGGAAGAATTCATTAACACCTGACAGGCTCACTCTCCCACACAGTTTTCTAGTTCATGCGATGAGTTGTTCACAAAGTCCAGTAGCCCCCATGCCCAGGAGCAACACAACACTCATTAATAAGCTTTCATACACAGAGGATACAAACCAGCTCATACACACATACATTAACAGGCTTTCTCAGAGAGTACACACCTCCTAATAGGGTCTCCCATGCACATTAACAAGCCTGTACACACCACAAACAAGTAACACACACACACACACACACACACACACACACACCTCTTCCCATGTCTGCTCACGTGGCCATTGCAGTTCGTGCACGCACAGGGCAAATACTGTTCTTGTTCTTGATTCTGCTAGCACACTGGCATACACACACACATGCACAAGCACACAGAGTAGCTCACACCATTGTAGCACAGCCACGTAACTTCAACACGACCTCAAGGACACTCACCTTGGCCCTCGGTGCTATAGCCCTTGCCATGGGGGCAGAGCTTCCTGTGGGCGGAGGTGCCAGGCAAGGGACAGAGCTCACAATGGGGGCCCCAGCCCCGGCCGCCCCCGCAGCAGCACATGGCTCTGGGCACAGCCTCACCACTGCTTGACCAACTCTGGCACATGGCCTGTAGCACCTCAGAGAAGCAGAGCCCCCGCCGGATATCTGCAGAGAATTGGTAGGAAGGGTGGGCAGAAAAACTGCTTTGCTCAGGACCTCCTTCTCTGTGATGCCTAGCAGCCAGGCATATGAGTGTAGGAGGGGCATCTTCCCTTTGGAATTGGACACTGTGAAACACCCTCAAATGGGTTAGGTAAAACCCATTTGCCTCAATGGACTGGGGCAAAAGCTACCCACCCGCCCAAATATCAGTGTTAGCTCTGGGATAGGTTATGACGGCTGGGTGGCCTCTGTGGAGGGCAGTGTCTTTGACCACAGTGAGAAAGGATAATTAAAGGGCAGAGGGAAGCAGGGGAACAGAGCAGGAAGAGATGATGCTTGGGATAGAACAACAGGGACAGAGGAAAAAAATATCAGGGCTGGTGAGATGGCTCACTTGCTGCCAACCCTGATGACCTGAGTTTGATCCCTAGGACCCACAAGGTAGAAAGAAAGAGCCAACCTCCACACATATACCATGGTACACTGTGCACAATGGTTCCCAAACCCTCAACACTGATAACAAATAAAGTGTAATTAAATAGAATAAAAAATAAGATCAGAGATAGGTGGGAAGTGAGGGCTAACTACAGACGGGAAGATTCTCTGCTGGTCACTCCATTAAGCCAAGTCAGGATATTCCAATCACTGAGATGGGGTTGGGGGCAAAGATGCTGAGCTGGCTTTGAGGTAAGCTATAGTGTTGGGGTTTGGGAATGGGGTGTCTAGAAGATGCATAACATCTGGCCTGAAGCTAGGGGATGTACATTATCCATGGGGAGGAGAGAAGAGGATGAGAACAGGAATGGACAGGTGCCTAAAACAGAAGGTACTGTTAAGGTCATCTGCTGGGTTCAGTTCTTAGGTTGTTGTGGGAAACCCACAGAGAGATCATTCTGGGGTGATGCCTCTGGGGTCAGAGAAGTCACGGAGGTGGATGGGAAAGGAGGGGGAGGACAAGGAGGAATTAGCTCTTCTATGAAGTGTGTACAGGCTCATGCATCTATATTGATAATAGTACAGCAATTCCCTTCATGCCTCCTCAGTGTTCCTGACCTTATCCTTGCCTCAGACCTCCCAAGTCTCTGTTCACCTTGCTTGTTCCTGGTTACACTCACCATGGCACTCAGTGAGGGTGGAGCTGGGATGGAAGCCCTCATCACAATCACACTGGAAGCTTCCCACTGTGTTGATGCAGCGGCCATGGGCACAGAGGCTGGACTGGGCCTGACATTCGTCCTCATCTGAGATGGGAGGGATGAAGCAGGCCAGAGGCGGAGGCCAAAGCCACCAAGCCAGTTGCCCTTGGCCTTGAAAGTTCCCCTTTCACTTTGAACTCTCCCCTCCATGTAGCTTTCCCTGTGCCCTGGAAGTACCACGTACCTGTGCAGTCCTCCCCAGAGGGCTGGGGTTGCATGCCAGGCAGGCAGATGCAGATGTAAGTGCCAATGAGGTTTTTGCACAGCATGCCTCGGGTGTGGCAATCCTGAGACCCATCTGCACACTCGTCCACATCTTTGGATGACCAGGGATAGTGGGTAAGTCAAGGTCATGCCTTCCACAGCTTGGTTCTAGATGGGATGAGCCCAGATCCCATCCCCTAGCAGTCATAATGGGTCAAGGTGTCCCCCAGAAACTCATGAGTTACAAACTTAATTCCTAAAGTTTTATGGTGATGGTATTTAGAGCTGGAGGTGATAGGATTAGACGAGGTCATGACGATGGGGGGCTCCCATGATGGTGTCAGTGGTGTTATAAGAACAGACCTGATTCAGCACCTTGATCTGCCTTGCTTTGTGCCATATTGTGATGCCACTTGGAGACCCTCACCACTAGCACCAGGTGTGCATATGCAAGAAGGCAGAAGAGGCTGTCACATATCCTTTTCTGTCACACTCTGCCTTATTTCCTTTAGATAGTCTAGTTTAGTCTAGTCTGAACCTAGAGCTAACCTGGTAGCCAGCAAGCCCCATGGATCCTCCTGTCTTTGCAGTGTTGGGATTAAAGGCCTTCATGTGGTCTCACCCAGATTTTGACATGGGTGCTTAGGTCTGAATTCAGGTCCTCATGCTAGTTAGTACAGCAAGTGCTCTTAGCCACTGAGCCATCTCTCCTGTCCTATATTTCTGTTCTTTATCAATTACCCAGTCTGTAGCAATCAGTTATAGCAAAAAGCTACTACTTCTCCAAAAAGCAAAACCACTTTTCCTTCAAATCCAAGTGTCTATTTCATGCCCCAGTTCAGCTGTCTGCTGTGTGAGCTTCTTTGCTGCTCACTTCTATCCTCTGGGGTCAGTTCAGTTTAAAGACAGGAAACCAGAGTGCTGAGACCACATCTGGATCTGTTCGAAGTCAGGACTATTTTCGGTGTGATGTTAGTACACAGTGGAGATCATAAGATCAATGGTGGGGAATCAGAGAGCCCTACCCATTGGCAGTCTGTGCAGACCCTACCTTGGCACATGGTACCATCCTTCCTCAGTGCGTAGCCAGCTGGGCAGGTGCATAGGTAGGAGCCCTCAGTGTTGTGGCAGCGGAAAGCACAGAGCAGTGGATTCAGGGTGCACTCGTCAATGTCTGTGGAGGCCAGTAGAGGTTTCATCTGGGCAGGCTCTCCCTGGGGTACCCCTGGTACCTCTTAAGGATCAGGCCTAGAAAGTCCCTGTTATACAGCTCTGATCTTGCTCAGGATGTATCATACCTTCACAGGTCATTGTGGGGCCGGGCTCAAAGCCATCAGTACATGTGCACTTGAAACCTCCAAAGATGTTGGTGCACATGCCTTCCCCACAGGGGTCCCCAATAGAGCATTCATCTGTGTCTGGTTGGAGACAAGTGAGGAGGACATCATCACTTGAAGAGAGCTCCCTCCCCTCAACACTGCCATGTGTTTCCCTTTGACTGACACAGGTTGAATGGGACAAGATTTGTGGCACTTTCAGGCTGGCTGTGGGTATATGTTCAAAGAATGAATAGTTGGAGCACGAATGAGAGAATGAACAAGAGAGCATATGAATGAGCCAAGAATTTGGGGAATACATGTGTGAATGAGTAAGAGAATAAATGAGCAAGGGGACAAATCAATGCATGAATGATGAGGTGAGTTGGTGAATGCATGAGCGAGCAAGGGAGTAAATGAATAAATGATGAAATGAATAGATGAGTGAATGAATTAGTGAATATATGTGTGAATAAATGGGCAAGGGATGAATGAGTGAGCAAGAATAAATGAGTAATCAAGGGAATGAATAAATTAGTTTATGAATAAGTAGATGAACAAGTGAATGAATGAGTTATTGGGTACATTAGAGAATGAAAGAGGTAATAAATAAGTAGTAAGGGGAGCATATAGAGGAATGAATTAATGATTTGTTGGAAGAGTAAATGAATGCATGAGAAATGAACAACTGAATGAGCAAGGGAATGAGTGAACAAGAGATGAATGAACGAGCAAGGAGAAGATAAGGGAAGAATGAATCAATGAAGTCTGAGTTGGTGAACAGTGAATGGGTGAGTGAACTGGATGAGTGAATGACCATGAGGACAAAATGGAGAAGTGAGTCTGTGAATGAGTGGACTCAGTGAATGAGTGAACAAATGAGTGACCAAATGAATGCATAATTAAGAAAACAGGTGAGCCAACTTCAATGCTAGTGAATGAATGCATGCACAATGGGAAATGAATGAATAAGTGAATAAGTGAGTAATGGGAAGGGAGGAGGCATGCTGAGCTTTCATGTTACCTTGACACACCTGGGAAGAGTCTCAGTAAGGGATTGTTTACATTGGGTTGGCCTGTGGGTGTGTCTGGGAGGGGGGAGAATGTTTTCATTAATCAATGTGGGAAGACCCAGCCCACTGCGGACCGCTTCATTGCCCAGACCTGGGGTCCTGATGCAGATGCAGAGCTGAGCACAGGAAGTGAGCATGCATGCATTCATTTCTCTCTGCATCTTTTGACCTCGGATATCAAGTGACTAGTTGAAGGTCTTGCCTTAACTTCCCCACTATGATGGACTATAATTGTGAGCTGAAATAAACTCCTTTCTCCTCTAAGGTTTTTTTTTTCCTTTTTGAGACAAGGTTTTTCTGTGTAGCCCTGGCTGTCCTAGAACCCACTCTGTAGACCAGGCTGGCCTCAAACTCAGAGACTGAGTGCTGGGATTAAAGGCGTGTGCCACCACCACCCTGGCCCCTAAGTTGCTTTTTGTCAGGATTTTTTTTTAATCACATCAACAGTAATTAAAGTAGGACAAAGAGAATGGAGAATGAGGGAAGTGACAGTGTTAGTGAAGGGCTCCTTGGCTACCCACCAACGCAGGTGATGCTGCTGAAGTCCAGGCTGTAGCCGAGGGGACACTCGCAATGGAAGGAGCCATCAGTGTTGACACAGAGGCCACCAGTGCAGATGCCAGGATTCTCTGCACACTCATCCACATCTGCAGGGTTGAGACAGTGTCTGTCCACCTGACACTGAGTAGGTTCCAGGGCAACTTGTGGAATCTAAAGCTTGAGGATCCATGGAGAGCTGAGTCAGGAGGAAGGAGTTCTTAGAACCCAGAAGAAAGTCTTACCTTTTCTGGAGTCATCTGGGCCTGGGTCAGCCCCATGGCCAAAGGGACAGAGCTCCCGAAAAGTAACTGGGAAGAAAATGGGATTAGAAGAGTCGGGGTCAGCACAACAGTCCCCAGTACCTAAGAAGGGCGAGGGAAGAACGGAGGAGGGAGGAATGCAGTGGGACAGAGGGTCAGAGAGGCCAGAACTCACCACTGTCACTCTGAGGGCACAGCTCACAGGGGTCCCCCCACCCCTTGGTGGGGTTCTTGCTGCAGCAGCACTGGGTCTTTGTGGTGTTGAAAGCTTTGGGCACTGAACACTTTCCAGCCTCAAACTGGGTGAAGCAAAAACTCTGGCGAGTGTCTGTGAAGAGGGAGGTGTGGACGATAACAAAATGATTGACAGCCAGCAGCTCTACCTGACTGCCTCTCCTCCTTCATCACAACCTTACTGAATGGGTGACCCTGGTCCTACTAGTAACCAATGAAAGCATGCTATACACCTGGCTATAAAAATTGCTTAGGAATGAACCTGTGATGCACTCTGGGCCAATGACAATGAGCTGGGAATCCTTTCCAGCAGTGTTCCAACCACTTGTGTGTGTGTGTGTGTGTGTGTGTGTGTGTGTGTGTGTGTGTGTGTTGCTGACAAACTTTCAATGTGGCCCTTGTGCCAGGAAGAATAGCTACACTCCGCCCATTACTTTTGAATCAGAGGTCTCTTCTTAGAGTGACAAAGATAATTTTGAGAGGGCTAGATGACCTGGTATGGCAAACCTTCAGTCTCCAAACCGTCAGTCTGTGTTCTTACAGGCACGCTGGGGTACGGTTCACCACTGGGCCCTGTGTTCCCTAACAGTTGATACTGGCTGAACTGAACTGTAGGCTCTGGAGCAGGCATTTGTTTATATTTCTCACAACACTCACCGAAACAATAGTGTCCACTGTCAGAGAGGACAAAGCCAGGAGGGCAGAGGCACTGGAAGGTCCCAGGACTGTTGGTACAGGTGCCAAGAAAGCAGAGGCTGGGCTCCTCCAAGCATTCATCAGTATCTGCAGAGGCAGCGATGGGAGCTGAGACGGGCAACATGGATCTCCAGCAAAGCGGGGAGGTTTAGCTCTCCAACGTGAGACGTTCTAAGCATGGAAGCAGGGTGGGGACCTGTGGTTGCAGTGTGAGCCACCACTAGGTGGGCAGTGTGTACTGGAGGTCTTTCTCAGGTGTCTTCAGAGTAGGGCTCATGGTCAGGAGTTCATCTTTTAAATTTATTTCTGTTTTTAAGGTGTGCGTGTTTGTGTGTGTGCACATGTGATGTGGGAATGTACCCATGAGTGCAGGTGCCTGTGGAAGCCGGGGTATCGGCTCTCCCTGGAGCTGGCAGTTGTCAGCTGCCCGATGTGGGTGATGGTCCTCTGCAAGAGCAGTATGCTCTCTGCTGAGCCACCTCTCCAGACTCAGAAGTTCATCTAAAAAAATAATGCTGGGTATGGTGGTGCATGTCTTTAATCTTAGCACTCAGAAAGCAGAGGCAGGCAGATCTCTGTAAGTTATAGGCTAGCCTGGTTTACATGGAGAGTTCCAGGATAGCCAGGGCAACATAATGAGATCTTGCCTCAAAAACAACAATTATTACACTTTTATTTATTTTGTGTGTACATGTGTGGAGGTCAGAGGACAACCTACAGGAGTCAGTTCTCTCTTTACTAGGTGAATCCCAAAGATTGAACTCAGGCTTGGTAGCTAGTACCTTTACCTGCTGAGTCATATCACTGGCCCAAGTTCATCATTAGAGACTTAAAACTGGGCAAAGTTAACTGAGACTAGAGATATTGTGCCTGTACTAGTTAGAGTTAGCTCACGTACCACGCTACCCTAGATAGACTAAATTTAAAAAGACCAGGCTGTACTGGTCTAAATGAGTCCATTCTATACACAATAGCACATTTGCTGAAGCCAGAATGGTCTACGTTAGCCTAGGTTATACAAGGCTAGCCCAAAAGGAAAACAGTATCAGATGTTGGCGAGTCAAACTGGCCCAGATTGTGAAAGGTTAGTACAAATGGAAGACTGGATTATCAGCAGTTGGGTCAGACTGGATCAGATCATGGCCAGGTTGACACACTTGCCCAACCAAGGTGGTGCACTCATGATGTCTGCAGACAGGAGTGGGAGGTAGGGTCACCATGGATCCCAAGGATTATTGAGCTTTCCTTACATTCTGCCCACTGACTGATCGACCTGCTCAGGCTAGACTAGTCCAGGTTAGCCTATACTATATGAGACTAACTTGGTGAATTAACCAGCTAAGATCAAGTTAGACTAATTAGTCTGAAGTATATGAAATGATTCTTGTGGGTGAGAATTCAGAGGAGTCTCTGAAGTATGGTGATACTCCAAACCCAAGTATATTTTCCAGGGCACAAAGAACTCTCTGAGCCCTTGGAGGAAGGCCTGAGCCAGGAGCCAGGACAGTTCTGATAACAATGGAGCTGCACTTGGTGCTGTGCCGTGTGCACCTGCACTCTGACAGGGGGTTGGACACTCACCAATACAATGGCCACTCTGCACCTGGAAGCCAGTGGGACAGGTGCACTGGAAAGAGCCTTCCGAGTTCTGACAGGTGCCTGGCAGGCAGGTCCCTGGGAGGCTCAGACATTCGTTGATATCTGTGGAGGGAAAAGGAGGGGCATCCAACGCCAGGGAGGAGGCAGAGCGCTCCCTGAGGTCTTTGGCCAGCACCCGCAGGTTAGCTGGGGGACAAGCCCTTCTAGGGACAGTTTTGGGTCCAAGAGAAAGGCTGAGGCTCGGGAACACAGAGGCAGCAGAGGAAGAAAGGGTTATTTGTTCTTGCTGGGTCTATGGACCTGGAGGGAAGCAGGGAGCAAGATTTATGAGCCACTTGCAGGGTCCCTCCAAGATTTCCATGCCATCCATTCGGTACGTCTGCTATTTGTTATTTCATAAACTTCCCGTTTGCAAGATGGCCTCACCCTGAACTATAGTCAGCTCTTCTTTTCTTATACCTTAAAATAAATATTGATGGATGAGTAAGGAGCTCATGAAGTCCCAGCCCCACCTGAAGAGCTGTTGGCAACTGCAGGCTGCTGCAGGAGGATGTCAGTTTTCGACCAGGTTATGGCCCCTAATAGGCCTCCTGTGCTCTAGTAGAGGACCCCATACCCATCCACATACTGGCACCAGTAAATGGAACCAGTGTGCCTAACAAAGAGCACATGGAGTTGAGAGGGAAAGTGGTGGTGGGAAATGGAGGAGGTGGAGGGTAGCGAGCTGGGGGTGGATTTGATCAAAACGCATATGCAAATCTGAAATTGTCAATTTAAGAAATGCACAGATGTGAACTGGAACTATGCTCAGTCAAAAGTAGCAACTGCAGGTATATGAGGAACAGACTCACTGAGATGGGCACTGGGGCTGAGGGAGGGACTCACCCATGCAGTCCTTCCTGTCAGCTGTGAGCTCAAAGCCGTCTTGGCAGAGGCAGTGGAAGGAACCGGCTGTGTTGAGGCACTGGCCAAGCTGACACACTTGCCCCACCAGGGTGGTACACTCGTCAATGTCTGCAGAGGGGCACGGGCAGGTCACCATGGACCCCAAGGGGACTGAAACTTCTTTGTATTTCTGTCCACAACTAATTAACAGGTTGACTTTGATTTATTAAGGACCCATGAATAGACTCTATATTTTATCTTGTGAGGTAGGTACCAATATTTTCTAATATACAATCATGTAATTCTATTAATTTGTCACTAAGTACTCAATTAACTATATCCCACACATTTAGATCTATGTTTTCATTCTTATTTAATTAAAATATCTTCTAATTTTAATTTATTTCATTTTGTTATATTATTTATTATACTATTTCCAATTTATACATTATTTCCTAATTTAATTTACTAAATTTCATTTGATTAAAATATTTTGTATTTTTTAAAGAATTATTTATTTTTATTTATGAGTCTGCATATGAGCCTGCATGAGTTTAAATGAAACACATGTGTGTTGGTATTCATGGAGGCAAAAAGAGGGTATTGGATCCCCTACAACTGGAGTTACAGATGGCTATGAATCACTACGTAGGAGCTGGGAACTGAACTCAGGTTCTCTTCAGGAACAACACATGCTCTTCACCAGTGACCCCTCACATCCTCAGCCCCCATGTCACGAAGGATTTGAAGCTCTATTTTTGGATTGCCTATGTACTTATGATTAGGTCTTCTCAGAGAGATGAACCTCCTCAATGTATGCTCTGCGTCTTAGTCTTTAAAATGGCCTTGAGCATGCTTGGCAGGAGGTGCCATTGTTTCCAGACAGGGAAGATGGAGGCACAGGGGGTTAAATGGCTTTCCTAGTGATGCAACTGTAGTCATATTTACCGCCATGCTCCAGCCTTGGACTACTCCATCCTGCCTACGTGATTTCATTCCATCAAAGCCATTTCCAACTTCTAGGTCCCAACTGCTTGCACATTCTCTCTTATGCCCCAACCTTCTCTGTCCACATCAGACTTAGAACTAACAAAAGGAGTTCACATGCCCAATCTCAATGCAAAAATACCACCAATATGAAAGATCAAGCCACCATCTTCTCTCTAAAACCCACCAGTCCTGTAGAAATATTTACCAATGAGAATTAGACTAATCACAAGATACAGAATTTAAAAGAACAATCATAAATTTCATCTAAGAATTCAAGGAGTTTAAAAAAGATACATAAGAAAAACCCAGCTTGATGAATTTAAGGAGAAAGAATTTAAGGAGCATAGACATGTGAGAGATGTTCAAGAAAACACAAACGTAAGGCTGAGGGAAATGATGACAATACAGGATTTGAGAACGGAATTCAATATGGAGACAGAAACACTGAAGAGGACTCAAGCTGAAATTAAGATGAAATTGAAAAACTCAATAACAACTAGAAAACTCAAAAAGTCTTACATATAAAATGAATCATGTGGAAGACAAAATATCAGGTCTAAAGATAAAATAAAGGATCTATACCACTCCTTGGATATGCCCAAAGGACTCGATGTTCTCCACAGATACTTGCTCAGCCATGTTTTAGTGAAGTCATGAGTCTTGGAGGAGAACCTGCAACCACCACTTTACTAAACCAGCATAATCCCCAACTACACCCTAATATTTGTCTTTATACTCATAGATAGGTGTAGTCTTCACCCTTCATCAATGAAAGTTCTCAATGCAAGAGACAGAGACCATTACAGAAAACTACAACCAATCTAAACGCAGAGTTGTGGAGCCCAATCCCAATGGATGCATCTACAGCACAACTCAGGGAACATGGCAGAATAGCGGGCATAAAGACTGTAAGGACCAGAGGATCAAGGGATCAAGGAATTTGCTGAGACATTGCATTTCCTAGTAATTTCCGAAGCTATACCCATAAAGTCTCACCAACACGACTGCCTAAACATGAGCTGAACAAAGGCAAGAACAATAGGCAAGGTAAAGTAGACAGGGTAAAGCCCAGGAGACCTCAACCCTAAACAAAGAACTACAGGCAACTGTGGAATGCTGAGTGGGAAAAAGAGTCTTCTCCAGGGAAAACACTAATTGGTTATCCAGTACCAAATGGTCAGCCCTGAAAACATACATACAAGTAACATTGTACAGTCTGATCTGGCTAAGTTTAGGAATATAAATGAATAGACATAAACATATATGCAACAATTAATGAAAGAAGAGGCTACGAATTTGAAAGAGAGCAAGGAGGGGTATATGGGAAGACTTGGAGGCCGGAAAGGGAAGGTCTACCTTCTAAATTTCTCAATAATGTAATTATATGATAATCTTAAAAGGAAAAGAAAAAATTCTAAAATAGCACATCTTAAGCTGGGCAGTTGTGGCACACACCTTTAATCCTAGCACTCAGGAGGCAGAGGCAGGTGGATCTCTGTGATTTTGAGGCCAGCTTGGTTTACAGAGTGAGTTCCAGGACAGCTAGTCCAGTTATACAGAGAAACTCTGTCTCGAAAAACCAAAACCAAAATCAAAAATACATCTTAAAAAATAAAATAATTGAAATTTCATTTATATATTTATTTTGTGTGTATGCCTTCACATGTCTTTACACCGTGTGCATTCCTGGTTCCTATGGAGGCAGGAAATGGGTGTCAGATCCTCTGGAACTGGTTGTGAGTCTACATGTGGATGTTGGGAATGGACTGGAGCCCTTTAGAAGGGCAGCCAGTGCTCTCATGTCTCTATCCTTCTATTTCTATTTCTAACCATGTGTCCCTGGTCTAGTTCTTTGCCTCAGGACACAAGAATCTGGACACTACAACATACTCCCCTGAGACATGCTGGAAGTGGCTCTGGGACTCAGATCTGTGTCTATATCAACTGGGTAACTTTTTTCCCACATAGTCTTTTTTTTTTTTTAATTCGGAGCTGAGGACCGAACCCAGGGCCTTGCGCTTGCTAGGCAAGCACTCTACCACTGAGCTAAATCCCCAGCCCCCATAGTCTTTTTTAAATTTACATTTTATCTATTTATTGCATGAGCGCGCGCGTGTGTGTGTGCGCGCATGTGTGTGTGTGTGTGTGTGTGTGTGTGTGTGTGTGTGTGTGTGTGTGGTGTTATGAATCATGTGTAGAAGTCAGAGGGTGGGGATCAATCATTAGGGATTGAACTCAGGTCATTAGGTTTGGGGGAAACTGTCTTTACTTATTGAGTCCTGTGTCCCAGTCACAGGGCCACTTTTGTGTGTGCTTGTCCAACCTAGGCAGCTCACCTGCACAGTCACTGTTGCGTGTCACCACAAAGCCAGGGAAACACAGGCACTTATAGGAGCTGACACTATTCCTGCAGGTCCCATTTCCACATGGCTTCTGGTCACACTCATCAAGGTCTATCAGAGCAAAACCACAAATCCAGAAGACTCACCCTAGGGCATTAATTAACCAGAAGGTCGAACTGGCTGGAGCTTGCCTTCCTCCCCTGCCTCTATCCCTTCCCAAAAGTGACCCCTGAGGAGATGACTGGGAAGTATACCCATGTTAGTATCAATGATGCCCATTTGACATATGGGAAAACTCATGTGGGGAACAATGCAATCCCAGACTCTCAAGATCTCAGTGTCTGGGTTTAAATCTTAGAGGGGGTGTGAATTAGGATAGATAAAAAGGATAATCCCCCCAGGAGAAATGAAGACCCCAGACAGAGAGCCAGGCACATGGTTTGGTCAGGTGAGGCTTGGAAGCCATGGTGACAGATACACATATAGCCGTCCCCAGTGTCCACACAGTCACCATAGCTACAGACATTTGGGATGTCCAAACACTCATTCATTCCTGAGGGGTGCAGGTGACATGATGTCTCCAAGAACCCCACCTGATAATATTTTGCTGAGATCTCCGTGTACAATACATGTATACAGCAGGGAGCAAAACTGTTTGGAGCCCCCACTCAAGCTCCCACCAGGACCTTGTGCTGCTGACATGAGGTCCAGTTGTCACCTGTCACATTTTTACTCTGTGCTACGGATGGCTGCTCTCTGAGCTGCTCTTCCATTCCCCAGCAGTGGCAGCCACATCCTACCTGAGTCATAGCAGGTGGCAAAACCTGGCTTGCTTACTTCTCTTCCTTTTGCTTTGCTTAAGTCTAACCTGTCACCTCCCGGGGGACCCCACTCACCTACACAGGTCCTACTGGGGACAGCTCGAATCCCCGGGCACACTGCATTCATAACTTCCAGGGACATTGATGCAGTCTGCACTCCTCTGGCAGAGTCCCTTTCCATGGGCACATTCATCCACATCTGGGGAGTCCCACGAACAGGATGGGGTGAAATAAAAGCCTATCTCGATAGAACCCCAACCTGTTTTGGAAGCAACTAGAACTGAGGTAAGGTTGATTATATGGGACAGAGACTCTTGGGAAGGTGCCAGTTCTTTTACACAGATAGGGAAACTGGGGCTCATGGAGTGCTCAGACTGGAGAGAGAGAGAGAGGGAGAGAGAGAGAGAGAAAGGGAGGGAGAGGGAGGGAGGGAGGGAGGGAGGGAGGGGGAGAGAGAGAGAGAGAGAGAGAGAGAGAGAGAGAGAGAGAGAGAGAGAGAGAGAGAGATCCCAGCCATAGAGTTCAGAACTCTGTGTGCTGCATCCTTACAGGCCAGAAAGTTTCTACTGTAGTTGAAGACAATGAGGCATTTGCAATGGAAGCTTCCAATCTGGTTGGTGCAGACACTGTGGGCACAGATGGCTGGAATGGGGAGAGGGTAAGCCATAAGAGACAGCCCAGACTAGGGGACCTTCCAGGTACGTTGGACCTCCTGAAGTCTGACAGAAGATAAAGCCACAAGATGGCAGATGCTCCAGAAATCATGCTCTGAATAAAATGCAGCTGTTTCTACCTCAAAGAGGTAAGGATGTGGGAGAAGAGGTGAGATCAGGGGAACGGTTGGTACAATATGTGCCTTGCCAGCATGAAGGTCTGAGTTTAATCTTTAGATCGCACATTAAACAGCCAGTGTGGTACCTTTTACAATCCTAGCACTGTGGAGGCAGAGACAGGTGGACCTTGCTTCTTGCTGGCC